CTGTATCAGTTTCTAACTACGATTCCTTCTTCTTCCCTCCTGTGTTATTACTTTACTAACATTTAAAAAAAAAAAACTTTTTTGTTTTTTTTGTTTTGTTTTGTTTTTTGAGACAGGGTCTCACTATGTAGCCCAGGCTGGTCTCGAACTCACAGCAATCCTCCTGCCTCAGCCTCCCGAGTGCTGGGATCACAGGAGTGCACCACCACGCCCAGCTAAAAAAACTTTTTACTATTACTAATAGTTTAAAGAGGAAATAAGGTTTTCAATAGTAATACTTGCCAGAGCTGGAGGAGTTCTTCCTTTGCCCTCAATTATTCTAACAGACAAAATCCTACAAGAAATGAAAATACAGAACTTGCTTTTTTTTTTTTTTTTGGTACCACCAGGGATCGAACTTGGGTCCTTGCATTTCACAAGGCAGGTGGCAGAACCACTAAGCTAAATCCCCAGCCCAAGAACTTTCTTTTTAACTGCGATCTTTGCAGAGGAGAGAGGAAAACTGAGAACCTCAGTCAAAATTTCCAGGTGTTTTATGTGTGGGGTACTGGGGATTGAGCACAGAGCCTTTGCACTAAGTTACATCCCCAGCATCACCTCCCCTTTTTGAGATAGGGTCTTGGTATGCAATTTAGGTGTTGAAGTAACTAAACCCAAATTAGTCTTGAATTTCTGAGGATCCTCCAGCCTCAGCCTCCAAAGAGCTGGGATTATAGGTATGCACTACCACACTCAGCCCTTCCGGCCCTTTAATTTTTAAATTTTGAGATAAGGCTTCACTAAGTTACTAAACTGCCCAGGCTGGCTTGAATTTTTCCATCCTCTTGCCTCAGCCTCCCAGGGGGCTGGAAGTACAGGCATGAGTCACTCACTGTACCTGCTTTTGTTGACCTGGGTGGTATTAGGCTTCAAACATTTTCACAGGAGGCTTCTCCTGTGCCATTGGGGGAGTTGAGTAATGGGAAAAGGAGGAAGAGAGAAGGGGAAAGAACATGTATACATCCCCCAAGATGAATCTAAACACTGGGTTTTTTTGTTTTGTTTTTTTTGAGGCAGGGTCTTGCTGTATAGTTCTGGCTAGCCTTGAACTCATGGTGATCCTCCTGCCTCAGCCTCTTGAGTGCTGGGATTACAGGTGCGCACCACAACACCCAGCTAAGCACTATGCATTGCAAATATGTACTCATAATTTTTTTCACATGTAATAAATAAATAGCAGACTGGATGTGTAGCTCAGTGGTGCAGCACTTGCCCAGCATGCGAAAAGTCCTAGATTAAATCCCCAACGCTGGAAAAAACATGGTAAATTGGGTTTTCATTTTTTTTCTTAAAGATACCAACTCTCCCCCATCCAATAATCAAAGGTAACAACTTGAATCATTTGTGTTTTCATGATAAGTTTAGGAGCTGGATACTGAAATGTACCACCATATCTCTTTTGGGGCCTCTATCCTTTAGTGAGTAGAGATTGTAAGACTTGAGTCTCACTTTTACTCCTGGAGCGTGAACAGCCAAGAGGCCTTCACGATGCTGGGCTCAGTAGCTCAGCGAGGCTCCAGGAGCTTGTCCGATAGCGAGAGTCACCCAGGAAGGAACACACCAGGCAAGTTGGCTAACAGACCTTTATTAGTCTGGCCAGACGGCACTCCCCAAGCCAAGTGGCTCAGAGAGGCGGCTAGCTCAGAAACAGAGGCCACTTTATATAGGGCTGAAGGGGGGGTTACATATAAAACTTACGGGAAGAGGACAAAGGCAAAGAATCAGTTGTTCTGACCTAGTGGTTATCAGGCATGTACTTGACCATCATGTACTAATGATTAGCAGATTGCTCATCCGCTGTTCCATTTACAACTTAGATTATAATGTTCAGAACATTCAGACTACAGGCATGCAAGGAGTGGTGCAATCCATGTTGGGTCTCTGTGTTCATTAGTCTTCACCCAGCCTCCCAGCTACTTCAAAGCAGTTATCCAACAATTCACAATTAATCACTAGTTATCCTATAAGGGATGGGGGCAGCGACAGTCTCTAGGTCATTCGCTGGCCGATATGGAGTCGCTCTGGTTCAGCCAGGCTCCCACAGAGATGAGACTTCACGAGAATTTACAGTGATGGGCTGGGGATTTAGCTCAGTGTTACTGCTGTCTGCCTCGAAAGTGCAAGGTCCTGAGTTCGATATCCAGTACCCCCCAAATTCACAGTGACTTCACAAGAATTTACATCCCTGGTATTAGGAAAAACCACCCTGGCATAGGGAAGTGTGTTTTCAAAGATCAGGAAGAATTTGAAAGGATTTTTTTGTTTGTTTGTTTTAGTATGGGGTTCAAACTCAGGACCTTGTGCTTGTGAGGCAGGTGGCAGCACCACTGAGCTAAATCCCTGGCCCCTGAAAGGATGTTTTTTTTTGGGGGGGGTTCTCACTATGTAGCCCAGGCTGGTCTCGAACTCAGTGATCCTCCCACCGCAGCCCCCAAGTGCTGGGAGTACAGGTGCACGCCACCATGCCCGGCTAAAAGGATTTTAATGTATCTACTTTAAAGCCCTTTGTCCTACTGTGGGTGGTGGCCTAGTCTAGGTCAGTTATGAATCCTCAGAGGACAGCAATAGCTTGTCTCTCAGCCCCCTGGTCACAGAAAATGACACATGTTAGGCAGTAAATTAGTTCCAAGATTAATGCAGGAAAGAGCAGCAGCTTCACACGGTGGAGTGGAGAGCAGGATGCTAGCCAAAGCCCATATCGGGTGGAGGTTTAGGGGAAAAAAGAAGCCAATGGCTAGCGTGGGTCTTGTATGCCTTTCTGAGAGGAAGCTATTTTTGTGGGTGGGTGGAATGGGTCTCTGCTTTTCTGACACGCGCTGGGGTCTGATGTCCATGTTTACAGTTAACCTCGCCGGGCATGGTGGCGAACACCTGTAATCCCTGTAATCCCAGCACTCGGGAGGCTGAGGCAGGAGGATCGCTGTGGGTTTGAGACCATCCTGGGCTGCATAGTGAGTTCCATGTCAGTCTCAAATACATAGTGGGACCCTGTCTCAAAACAACCAAAACAACAACAAACCCCCAAACAAACAAACATACAGTTAACCTCTACTTCTCAGGCTGCACTCCCAGCAGTCTAGCCGCCTCTCAGTTCCAGATGCGCCAGGCCAAAGGCACGGAGACCACCGAGCAGGTCCCTTATCCAGAAGCCACGTTCTCAGAGTTGTCCCTAATCACCTCTTGGTAAAGGGTCCGCCGCCTCGCGGTTCAGCGGACTCTATCCCCAAAGAATCTGGTAGAGCACGGGGCCGGTGATTTAGCTCAGTGGCGCCTGAGCCAAAGGTGCCCAGGACAGCCCTGGTGGGAACGGCAGGCCCAGCCCGGAGCTGACGCAGGAGGGTGCGGGTGCGAGCTCCGCCTGGGTCGCGAAGCAGCAGGAG